AGGAGACCAAGTCCGAGCTGATTAGCGTTAGCCAATTATTTCTTAAACAAATTATTTAAAAGCAAATATAATTTTTCTTACCTTTAACAGAATACTTGGCCAGCTGTGACAAGGAGGGGAGGTAGTGTATCTTTTTTTTTTTTTTTTTTTTTTGTACAACCTCCCCGCCAACAAGCCCTGTATTTCAGTCCCACTCACAGTACGCCACCGCTGCTTCCCGTACACCCACTTGAGTGTCAGTCACAGATACTGACCAATCAGTGCTCAGCATGTTCACAGCTCACAGTTCACAGTTTCCCTGCTCAAATACTATGGCAACCCAGTTATACTTGAGCGTCAAGCAGGAATCTTGATAGTCAGGTTTGTTTACAGCCAACATTTTCTTGACCATTATTTGTACTTCACGGCTGGCTTTCCCCAAAATAAATAATTGACACGCTGGTGCTTTGGGCCAAACAGAGTTCATGACATTCAAAGAAGAATGTCATGAACTGAAATTGTACGTTATAGCTTTGGCATGTTAAAGCTTTATACCAAGATAAGCAAAAAGATTTAATAAGCAAACTAATGAGTAAGTAAGTAAGTAAGTAACATTTATTTATATAGCGTTTTTCATAGATAAAAATCAAAGTGCTTTACAACACAGGAAATGGAAATATAAAAACAATATAACAGTAAATAAAACAATGTAAAACTATAAAAACAGCATAAGAAATTAATCAAATGCTTTTCTAAATAAAAATGAGGCAACATACTGGCCATTTTTGAAAGTAAATGGAGGGCACACTCTGATTTCAGGGTGTGCCTGTGTATGACCAGATGGTCTTTTAGCTTCAAAGCCTAGAAACTTGACTGTGCAGCTAGACGGGGAAAAAAAAAAGGCTTTTCAACAGCCGCATCTGATGATACCAGCGATAGGAGGACATAGATGTGATAGAGAGAGGGGGTGTTGTGCATTTTTTCAGAAAACGTATTACAGAAGAACAAATGTCACAAGGTTTTGATCTGTCCCATCCTCTGTGCTGGTTGGCTTCTACCAGTTTCTCATCTTCAGAAGGCAAATATGTGGTTATTACAAACAAAGCTGATCTAGAGCAGACTGTGTACCCTTTGCTAAACTGTGCTAAACAAAGCACTATTTAAAGGTACAATTTGTATGCATCTCATTACTATGGAAATATTAGAAACAATTCAAATTTTATTTTTATAGAAGCATTTAAATAATAGTGCAGGTGGCCTAGATACCTCCAGTGGCTTAAGTGAAACCACTGAAAGCATGTGATATGTGAATTAGGTCTAAATTTGTGAGTGAAGTCTGAAATTTTAAATGTCTTTTAAAGATTGAAAACTGTTTATTCAAGCATGTGCACTACTATTGAAAGCAGCTGAAATGCTAGCTGAATTGGGGTGAAAATAGTAGAGGTCACCAAAGCTTATTCGACACTGCTAAACCTTGCAGAAAGCCTCCCCAAAAGAGTTGAAGCTGTTGTAGCTGAAAAGGTCCACCAACATCGTATTAACCCTTTGGATTAAGAACTGGACTTCACTCGAGTGTTCTCAAAGAGCTAAAGTATGAGCACTGATGACGTTGGTCTAAAATGCACAGCAGATAATGTCCTGAGCAGTTAAAAAACTACGATGAAAAAAAAAAAGAAAAAGACAAATGGATTAAAAAATAATAATAATAATAATAATAAAATAAAATACACCCCTATTTTGTAATCTTTTCTACAATCACTTTATTCAATATTTTAAAACCTTTCCCTCCTACATAACACATGATATTACATCTTTAGTATCAAATATTAACATACAGCTAAAGCAGGGAACACAGAAACATACACATTAAGATTTACATCAAAATATGTCAAGAAACGGTAACTCGACAGAAACTGCACAGTTCATTGCACTGGACCATGCATGTATACGTAAGTGCAACATTTCCCACAACACATACAGGAATTTTTTTTTTTTATATATATATATTACATATATAAAAACAAAAAACTTAAAAGCGTAATACGCATTTCTTGAATACTAAACATCCTTTTGGCTTCACCCATCCAGCTTCACTATAAACCACAGAAGGCCATTTTGCTTTCATTCCAGGAAATCAAATGCCCAAAAGCAATTTGAATTTCAAACTTAGATTTATAGTAAACAAATATAGGACAAGATGATGTTCCTCTTCTACAGACAAAAAAAAGCCCACATAAACTCAGATTCCGATAAACATGGAAATCCCAGGCTGGATAATCAAATTGTTGACAAATGATCAGCTGGAAGGTCAAATGAAAGTCGCAGAACAGTGTGAACCATATACGGAATTTTCACTGTACATCCTTAAACAAATAACATGTATTTGCTATTGGTTTTCGACTCACGCTCCAAATAAAACTAAACAACTCAAGGCACTTATTTCAACCCTTCTTTGGTAAAATACATTTTTAAAAGAAAAAAAAACATTTCATGCTATGAATGCAAACTAACAAAAAACCTTGAAAACAACTTGGGCAGCTTTTGCAGGGCATCTATTGCTTCTACGCATTCTTGCTGTTGGATACTGATTTCAAACTAGCTCATAGGTTTTAGAAGGAATTGTGTGTCCTGAGATGCAATAAGTCATGAAACAGATACAAGAGTGGATACTGAAATATCAAGACAATATCACAAAGTGGCAAAGGTAAGCTCGGTTCCTGTGCTGCTGATGGCTACAGCAACTCTATCTCCCACTGCTGGCTGGGCCTCTCATCATTCTCGGGCATAATGACCACGTGGTCCTTGTCGTAAGTTTTGCCACCTGATTAAAAAAGTAGTTTCACAATGTAAATCTGACTAATTATTCATGCTGTAGTGGAATGTAACTAAATAAACTCATTTTCATTGTGGAATTGTTACTTTTACATTATTACATAAAAAATATCCCTGCCACTGAACACTTTAAAAGGGAATATGCAGGAAAATAAACTTGGACACTTCTGAAAATTAAGTTAATATCATTTGAGATTAGATAAGATTTTGTGATGACCAATTATAACTTAATATTTAATAATTTTAGAAAATGAATGCCAGTAAAAACTACAATAGCCACTAACAACTTTACGTGCAACAAATGTTTAAATGTTAAATTACCACATTTTCTTCTCATACCTTTAACATCCATGACCATGCCAGGGAAAGTATTGCTAGCGATGAGGCCTTTCATTTGGGCAGTCCAGGTTTGAATGGGCTGTCGGGTTTCTGTCCACAGAACCACCTTTGCTGCTGGCTCTATGTTGCCAACCACCTGAAGGCTCATGGTTGGGGACAACTACAGAATACACAAAGTATTATGTTGGAAAGAATTGTCAAGATTTGAAATGTATGACTGTGTTGAGGTTTTCAGGATGTCACCAGCATTGTTACCTTGTTTTTAATCAGTCCATCCTGGTAGAACCAGATGTCACTCAGTGGCTCCACCTCAGGCGTCACCACCACTCGTCCCGATTTCAACTCCTCCACGCCACCCTGGACGGACAGGAAGTGACCTCGCTCTGTGTTCTTGATACGGAAAAAGTGGCGCTTCTGTAGAAGGAAAAATAGCACAATGTATTACTGTTATAGAATCTGTGGGCAGGCCAGACAACTCAAAGTTATTTGTAAATAAATACTAGCTGAAGTGAACAGAACTGGCTGCACTTGTAATGATGGACATTAGTTTCCTTTTTTTCCCCTTTCTTTTTAAATATAGTGACCAACAGAATCACCACTCTCTCCGTTTTGGAACTATTGGATACTTTTGACATCTGAGATTTATAAAAATGTCAGCCTGGTTTACTAATAACACTAATAGTGACCTAGAACACCAAAATCAACACCTTTAGGATCAAATTATTCTTCTTTAAGGCTCATAATAAAGGTTTCGTTTGGTTTTTTAAGGCTCCTAATGAGGGTTTTTCTATGCAACCTTCACTTATTGTGTAAAATGAAGGCTCTGAACTGGTGCTGACGACAGGAGCTTAAGTTTATAAACATGATTTAATGACATTAAAAGCAGGAAGAAAATAATCGTATAATTTTCTTTTAATAATTGATAAAGATTCAAACTTTCAGAGGTTCTCTTATTACGCATGTGTACCTCATGTTTAAAAGTCATTGTAAAGAATACTTGTTAACAAACCTGTCTGACTGGGTACATTGAGCCAATAGTGTGAAGGGAGCTGAACTTTGGCCAGTTGGTGATTTCAATTGGCTCCAGTAGGAACTGGCGCCCCCTGTAGTTGCTGTGTTCACATATCACCCAGCTACAAACCAGGAAAGTGGACAAAAAGCATTACTTATGACAACAGTATCCAGGTTCTCGGCAAGATATTTTTGGTTCACTATTAGCTGATGAAGCCATTTAATTGCATGTAAGTTACCAGCCGCTGTTGACTCTGAGTGACAGGATGTGGTTGTTGAAGCCTTCTTCGACCATACTCAGGATCTCTGTGTCTGTGGTGATCTCTCTGCCCTCCAGACACTCAAGCCCGAACAAAGAGATGGAAGGAACTGAGAACAACTGGAGAAAAGAAAGAGAGCATTCAGTAAGGCCATTGCGTGCAATAGGTTGGCAGCCTTAACATGAAATTTCCCACTCGTGGGACTAATAAAGGTATCTTATAATCGAGAGCAAAATGTTCCCTACACTATGTGAGTGCATTTCTTACCAAGGGCACAATCTTAACAGAACGAATGGAACAGTCAGGGGGGCAGCCCATGCTGGTTAGATTGGGGTAGTCTCCTTCAGATAAGACATACAAGTTCCCAGAGAACTGTTCATTCTCATAGAGGACCCAGCTGAAATACACAGCAACAAATTATGTGTCTTTATTGCTTTGCTTATTGACTTAAAAAAATAACACACACACACACACACACACACACACACACACACACACACACACACAAAAAATCATGTCAACTCTAACTTTTACTCACTTTACTTCCTGCTTACTCACCTTCTTCCCGTCACTCTGCATGACTTGGTAACTAATTTTTCTGGCATTTCCTCCTGTTTGAGGTTAAAGATGTAACACTCTCCCTGGAAGTCTGGCTCAGAGTACAATTTTATCTAACAAGGAGAAATAAGAAAAGCAAGGTGAGATGCCAGCTGAGAACATTTATATCTGTACTGTGACAGAAGCAAAATTAACAGGGAAAATGTCAAGGTGCTTAAGTTTGACCAAGTTATTAGCTTTAAGATATGCTCCATCCTTGAAAAAGGTTTTAAGCAAACAAAAAGAAACTCTGGATTCAAGTAATACAGTTCAATGTAACCTTCGCACATTGTTTTGGGACTGCTATCAGGCAGGGGACAGAGAAAGGTGAAGAAAAGCAAACTCTACTGCAGTTTATAAGTTATACACTAAGCCTGTCGACCTTTGAACAGTGGAGCAAAATAACTTAAAAAAACAACAACAAAAACAAAAAAAACAAAACCCTGCACAACCCAAGCTTAGAGCAATTCTGACCGTCTCTTCTTTACAACACTGCTTCAATTCAATTCCCTATGAAAGCTTTCTTTCCACATGACTGTACTTACCTCATCCCTGGAGCTTGAACTGTCATTTGGAGCCTAATAACAAGACAAAACAAAACAAAACAAAACAAATAAAACAGAAGAATTACATGTCTGCACAGTTCTTTGTTTAGTAGTTTGAAGATACGACTCCCAGTGATTCTCACCAGTAAGATGGGCTGAACTGAGCAGACACGAGTGTCTTGAGACCCCCAGTCAGCACAGTTATTGTAGAAGCCTTTCTCTAGAATGTACTGGTGACCAGAAAAGTCCACATGCGAGTAAGCGATCCATCTGTAAGGAAGACAAACAAATACCTAACTGTAAAACCTGTCAATTCATCGGTACAATGTAAGAAGAGGGGAAATATATATATATATATATATTATTAAAAAAATAAATAAATAAATACTGGTGTCTTCTACACACTTACGCCCCACTGATTATTTCGATTGAACGCGTGGAGGTTTTGTAGCCAAACAGCTCAACGTCAGGGATGGCCTCTGTCACCTCAAAGGTCTTCTCCTCTTGCACTCCATCTTCGTCTTCCTCTAGCTGCTCAAACATCACCATGACAGGGTCTGTCAAGTCCTGAAAGAGACAAAAAAAAACAAAACCCTGATTAATAGTCTGCATTCTAATATTTATCACGTTACTGATAATATAAATCATATCCGAGTCCCTTCATTTCTCTGGAGCCTGTTGTTATGAGGTTGTTGTAAACTTGTAGTCAAGACCGCCTAAACCAAGACAATACCAAGACAGACCGAGTCAAGACCAATGCAAAGTCGAGACGAGACC